GTAAAGTAAGCCGTGGTTGTAAGTGTGATAGTAAGTTTTAAGTAAGTCCCATCCATAAGTGTGGTAGGGTGTGTTAAGTAAACCGCTCACACACACACTACTATATAGATTGAAGAGCCGCGGGTGTGTTAAGTAAACCGCTCACACACACACTACTATATAGATTGAAGAGCCGCGGCGCTACATACATACACACACACAGAGAGAGAGAGAGAGAGAGAGAGAGAGAGAGCAGACCGAGTTTACCGTGACCATGACTTGGGGGTCTCTCTCTCTCCTCAGTCTCACTCACTTTTTTTTAATTTTCTGTGCTTCTACACACACACACACAAAGGTTTAATTAATCGTATACTTTTCCGATACTCCACATCTTACACAAAAGTGCAATAAAGTCCCTAACACGGTTCTAAGTAACTTAAAACACTAAAATTAACTTATTAACCATTGCAATCTACTTATAAGATATTCCCTGATGTCGATCTAAGTAACTTTACACTAACATTACCTCAAAGAAATAAAGCATTAATATTTGTTGACCCAAGTCATTAATTCTATTTAGCCATAACACTTTTTCTAGGTACCCCAGTGCTCTAGAATCCGACGGTACACTTTTATAGGTACCCCGGTGCTCTAGAATCCGACGGTACACTTTTATAGGTACCCCGGTGCTCTAGAATCCGACGGTACACTTTTATAGGTACCCCGGTGCTCTAGAATCCGACGGTACACTTTTATAGGTACCCCAGTGCTCTAGAATCCTACGGTACACTTTTCTAGGAACCCCGGTGCTCTAGAATCCTACGGTACACCTTTTTAGGTACCCCGGTGCTGTAGAATCCTATCACGGTACACTTTTCTAGGTACCCCAGTGCTCTAGAATCCTACGGTACACTTTTCTAGCGTCTAACTATACAAAATTTCCCCTATGACACTCCTCCGTATGACACTTTTTCGTATGACACTATCTCCCGTATGACACTATTCTCTATGTGACACTATTATTTGTATGACACATCTCTATATAACACCATTTACCGCATGACACAAATTACATATATATATATATATATATATATATATATATATATATATATATATATATATATATATATATATATATATATATATATATATATATATATATATATATATATATATATATATATGTATATATATATATATATATATAACACTTTTCATCGCATGACACATCACCATATGACAATTTTCATCGAATGACATCACCATATGACTTTTCATCGCATGACATCACTATATGACACTTTTCGTCGCATGAAACATCACCATATGACACTTGTCATCGAATGACACATCACCATATGACACTCCTCACCGTAAGCTTGTGTGTCGTGGAGGATCTGGGCATATTATCCCCTTTGTAAATGTACGGATAATAATCAACAATTTTGGCGAAGTTTAAAGCGATTTTATTCTACGTCTTATGTCTAATAAATTCTGTCTATATTATCCGTCTCCTACATCCGGATTTTTTTTATAAATTTTATATTATAAATTCCGTATCTAATTTCTGTGCCATCTATCGGAGAATATATATAAATTCTATCTATTAAATTCTGTGAAATGAGTTCCGAGTTAATTTATTTTTAGTTCATTGTATCGTAAATTCTGTCTCCTATAGCAGTAACTATATACATTATATACACTAAATTCTGTGTATATCGTCCACGTCCTCTACCCGCAACTATATAAATACTATATCATACATTTCGTTTCCTCAACCCGTAACTATATAAATTCTGTATAATAAATTTTATGTATATTATCCACTTCCTTTACTCGAAATTCTAAATAAATTCTGTAATAAATTCTCCGTCAAATAGGTTCGGGGAGTTAATATTCTTAGGTGTATTATATCATAAATTCTCTCTACATAACCTATAAATTCTACATAAACGCTACATCAAGAATTATCCGTTAAAATTGTTTTCCAAATCGGTAAGTGACTTCGGTAAGTGAAATCTGTCAAATTACATCGGTAAGTTCATCGGCAAATAACATCGGTAAGTGAAATCAGTGAATTACAGTATATAGGTAAGTTACATCAGAAAATAGCATCGGTAAGTGAAATTGGTTAAAATTCATCGGTTAATGATATCGGTAAATAACACCGGTAAGAGAAATCGCTAAATGATATCAGTATCAAAAAAATATTCGCATTCTTCCTATTTCAAGATGGTGGAAATACTAGCAAGGTTCTAGTAGATACAATCTAGCGCTCAAATCAAACTTACTAGCAAGATGGTATATGTTGCTATAGCGCTCAAGTTATTAAATTACTAGCACGTTGCTCCTATAGTTCATACGTGTTGCTAGCGCTCAAAAAAATAAAACTATTAGTGTATATCCATTTAGTTCACATTCCTAGCGCTAAAGAAATGATCACAGCTAGGAAAACAAATAACCCTAGCGCCTACGTCATCAAAAACAGTTCCAAGACAATAATCGCTGCTAGGTAAATACATATTCCTAGCAAATACATGGGCCTAGGCAAATCTGAAACTAGGAAAATGATCACAGGAAAATGTACAATCCTATAGCGCACGGGTCAACACTGTCATTCTCACAACTCTAGGAAAATCTGAAAACTAAATCTAGGAAAATAATCACAGGAAAATATACAGAATCCTATACGGAAAATTCCCCAACCTTAGTCAACATACACAACTATACGTCGAGTGTATGCGACTCATACAGGAACCAGATGAAAACACGTTTAACTGGCGCCACAAGAGGTCAATTAAGGTCAAGGTTATGGCACGGGTGAGGGTTATGACGCGGGTGAGGTTATGACACGGGTGAGGTCATGACACGGGTGAGGTCATGACACGGGTGAGGGGTTATGACACGGGTGAGGGGTTATGACAAGGGTGAGGGTTATGACACGGGTGAGGGGTTATGACTGGTGAGGGTTCTGACACAGGTGAGGGTTATGGCACGGGTAGTCAAGATGGCAAAAGGACATGGCGCACGAATATGGTCTAAGCACCATCACGAGACAGAGTTATTGTGAGCATCGACGAGGCCATGACATCGACGAGATCATGACATCGACGAAACCATGAGCGCCATCGAGAGCAAAACCAACGAGATCATATGACATCAACAGGACATCAGCAGGTCCATAACATCGACGAGACCATGACATCGACGAAATACATGACACCATCGAAATGACACCCAACGAGCTCGCGAGCATCGACAGAGACTAATCCGGGCAGGATCATGACATCGACGGGACCAAGACATCGACAGAATCCTTGACGGCGACGAGATCATGACATCGACGAGACCATGACATCGACGAGACCGGCATCAACGAGGATGTAACATCGACGAGACCATGACATCGACGAGACCATGACATCGACGAGGACATGACATCGACGAGACCATGACATCGACGAGATCATGACATAGACGAGACCATGACATAGACGAGACCATGACATCGATGAGACCATGACATCGACGAGACCATGACAAGAAGAACTTGAAAAAAATCACTTAACATTTCAGTCAATAATAAAACGTCATATGTCTTATAGTTTTCAACACCTCGGCGTCATTAACTAACTTCTATAACACCTCGGCGCCATTAACTAACTTCCATGACACCTCGGCGCCATTAACTAACTTCTATAACACCTCGACGCCATTAACTAACTTCCATGACACCTCGGCGCCATTAACTAACTTCTATAACACCTCGGTGCCATTAACTAACTTCTATAACACCTCGACGCCATTAACTAACTTCTATAACACCTCGACGCCATTAAGTAATTTCTTCAACACTCAACATTACTAAATTATTATATCAAATTTATTTTCTTTAGTTGTTACCGAAACGTCCTTTTTACTCTCGCAATAAAGAAAAAAATGTAATTTCTTTGGGACACTTCAGCAACCATTAATAAACATTGCCGTATTGTCGATGTTTCAGCAGATATAAACAGTTTACGGATTTACAAAACGTTAGTATATGCATTTTCTTGTTAGTATAAACATTTTAAAGACACCGAACATTTCATGAGGAGCAACATTGTGTGTTTCCTTTTAACATGTTATCCTTGTTATAAACATTTCCAGTCCTCATCAATATATAAACATTATTTTCCCATCGTTCCTCCCGTTCAACATAGTTTACCATAAACATTTTCCCCATCGCTTCTGCCGTGTAAACTTTACCATCAACATTTTCCCGGGGGTTAAACATTATAAACATTGAGATGAAGGTGACGGGTCAGTGTTATGAAAGGTGATACGGGCTGCCAACACCTGACCAGCCACATTAATGACAGCGGCGCTCTAACCATCGACTCAGCCAGGGTAATACTTAATTAAACACTCACACGCCAGATTTTATTCATGTGATGATACTAATTTTCCTCCATAATTGTTCCTGTTTTTTTTTTCAGCATTCAACTCACTCGGCACTTCACTTAGAGGAGGGGGGGAGGAATTCCTTGAGTGTAATTGAGTGTCTTTTACAGGTGAGCACACTTGAAAGGTGAGGGCAGGCAGACGGGCGGCGGGCGTGGTGTGGTGTGGCGGTGCCCTGGGTCAGTAACGTCTTCATACCACCTGCGGGCTGGCTCGCGTCTTCTCGCTAAACCTGGTATTTAATTCACAGGTAGGTACTGCCGCCCTTGTCTTCCTTTGTTTGAGCCGATAGTCTATTAATTTACGTGTGAGGCGGCGAGCAGCCACATCACGGGGCACTACTCAAGAGGGGGCGGGGCGAGGCGCAACTTCTGTCAACTCGTCAACGATTCACAACTAATCACTCTTGGCATTCGCCGGCTCGTTGAGGCCACCAGCCAACCACAGCCCAGCCAGAGGACGGGCCATCCCACCGTGAAACCCTGCAGCCAATGGCAGCGCGACCTCTCGCTCTGGATTATCGATTGCACCGCCCACCGAGCGTTGGCCAATGGTGAGAAGGTTTCACCTTGACGTCACTCATAGCCAGTAGATCCCAAGGATAGGGAACAGACGAAGTCGTAGTTTAGAGGAGCCAACTTATCAGTGAACTAAATGGATATTATATAGTAATTACTCACGGAGATTTAAGCCCCAAATCAAGTTTTCGATCCTAACTGTGTGCGAGGGAGTTGTAAGCAGCGCCTCGTGAAGCGTGGTGGAATAAGTTACATGCGGCTGCCCTGCCTGGCCGACTTGTGAGGCTCGCCACGAGAATATTGTGTGTGTGTGCAGCGGAGACAGAGTACCAGACACCATGTTGGTGCCCAGCGACGGCGTCTCCTCTGGCTCCGGCAAGCTGGTGGCCGCCCTCGAGCAGTTCTACGCCGAGCAGGTGTCCAAGAGGCGTATGATCGTCAACAAGCGGGTGGAGGAGGTGGTGCAGGTGGCTCATGACCTCATGAAACATGTGGAGGCGCAGGAGCCCCGCTGCCTCTCCACGCTCACCCAGGCCGGCGGCCGCTGGGAGGGCCTCCACATCCTCTCCCCTAACGAGTACCAAGTCACCATCTACCTCAACCAAATGGGAGAGTTCAACCTGGTGGATGACGGTACTGTGCCTGGGAGTGCCGTCCTCAAGCTGAGTGACGGTCGCAAGAGGTCCATGTCGCTATGGGTAGAGTTCATCACGGCCTCGGGTTACCTGTCCTCACGTAAGATGCGTGCCCGCTTCCAGACCCTGGTGGCCCAGGCGGTGGAGAAGTCCCAGTACCGCGACCAGCTGAGAATGGTGGGCGGCACCTCGGAGGTCCGCGTCAGGATTCGTGACACCTACACCCTCGACCTCACCCTCGCGTTCAAGTGTTACGGCATCTGGCCCAGGTCAGCTGCCCACTGGCCTGAGCTGTCCTTGCCCTGGCCTGGGGTGGAGCTGGCGGCAGAGGTCAAGATGTCAGGGTTCACCTTAGTGTCACGTGACTGCTCCCACCTAGCACGAGACAAGGACAAGGAGAAGCAAGACGCTGCCATCACGGCTGAGGGTGACACCTGGGTCATGGTGTTCATGGAGGCTGAGGACAGACTCCTCACTCAGGGATGCCGTAAGAAGTGTCTCTCTATCCTCAAGACTCTGCGAGACAGGCACCTCGACCTGCCAGGTAACCCCGTCAGCTCGTACGTGCTCAAGACCCTGGTGTTGTACGAGTGTGAGAAACACCCACACGAGTGGGAGTGGGACACCATCAGCCTGGGGGACCGCATCAACGGCATCCTATTGCAGCTCATATCATGTCTGCTGTGTCGTAGGTGTCCCCACTACTTCCTGCCTCAGGTGGACCTCTTCCGTGGGTCACCCCGCCAGAGCCTCACTCAGGGGGCCTCCCAAACGTGGCGCCTCACCCGTGACCTTCTCACCAGAACAGAATACCTTCAACAGTGCTAATGCGCTAACTACTACTACCAAAAACAACAATAACAGCCTGCCGAGCCGTCGCGGTGGGTGGACAGTTAAGTCAATCAGTCAACCTCCTGTAACTTAGTACCTGAAGCAGCCACCGCGTGACAACAGTCATAGGGCCATCGATCGGCGTGTGCTAGGGTAGGTCGTGGGTCCTGACGGCCGGCAAGATGGATGTCCTGTCGGTGTCCTGCTCCTAACGCGGCGCCGTGACACCAGGGCGGGGCAGTGGGAGGCGCGCCGCCCCAAGGCTCCGCCCACATTGCATCTCCTGCAGGCGCAACTCACGCATCAGTAATTAGCAGCGCGAGGTTGCGAGGAAGTCCCGTTGCATCGAGTGGCAGGCAGGTGCCACTGTCACGTGCCCCCCGCTACCTCCACTTGGCCCTGGTACCAACCAACTTGTGCCCCATCTGACATTGTTTCCCCCACCAAGGAGCACTCCTCTTGTACCTGAGGTAGGAGGCCAGAGCGCGGTGTTGGGATGCTGGTGCCGGCGGACATGCAGGGTGCCCAGTCACGCATGCTGTACCAGGTAAACAAATACTCGACGGAGCGAGTGGCCGCCCGCCGGGCAGCTGTTGCAAAGACTCTGCGGGAAGTTGTCAAGGTCGTGCAAGATGTTCTGAAGGAAGTTGAGGTACAGGAGCCGCGGGTGATCTCCTCTCTGGCAGAGGTCAATGGCCGCTTCGAGGGACTCAACGTCGTTTCGCCCACCGAGTTTGAGGCGATATTGTACCTCAATCAAATGGGAGAATTTAATTTCGTTGACGACGGAAGTATTCCCGGCAGCGCGGTACTCAAGCTTAGCGACGGCCGGAAACGTTCCATGTCACTGTGGGTGGAATTCATCACGGCGTCTGGCTACCTGTCCGCTCGCAAGATGCGGTCTAGACTGCACACGCTGGTGGCACAGTCTATCGACAAGTGCACCTATCGGGACTCCGTCAGGATGGTGGGGGACACGAGCGAGGTGAGGTTACGTGTGCGGGACCGCTATGTGGTACAGATCACGCCAGCCTTCAAGTGCTCGGGCGTGTGGCCGCGCTCCGCCGCACACTGGCCGTCCCCGCACGTGCCCTGGCCGCCCCCCAGCCTCGTCGCCGAGGTCAAGACCGAAGGCTTCGACCTCCTGAGTAAGGAGAGCAGCAGCATAGCAGGCAAGAACGGTGGCGGCCTGGAGGGTGACGCCTGGGTGTTATCCTTCAACGACGCAGAGAACCGCCTCCTGTACGGCGCCTCCCGCAAGCGGTGCCTGGCCATCCTAAAGACGCTACGGGACCGCCACCTGGACCTGCCAGGGGAACCCGTGCCGGCCTACGCTGTGAAGACGTTGATGTTATACGAGTGTGAGAAACACCCGCGGGAGGCGGAGTGGGACGAGGGGGCGCTGGGGGACCGCCTGGTGGGCATATTCCTGCAGCTCATCACGTGCCTCCAGTGCCGTCGCTGTCCTCACTACTTCCTGCCCAATATCAACCTCCTGCGGGGGGCGTCACCTCCCGCCCTTGAGTCGGCGGCCAAGCAGGCGTGGAGACTAACCCGGGAACTTCTCACAAACTCCAAGAGCCTCGAGAAGCTGTGAGGCCGCCCACCCACTCTACCTGCCTTGCCGTACACCCACCCACCCTCCCGCAGATACTTATCGGCCAGGTGGGCAGAGGAAACAACAACAGGTAGCAGCAGCAGTGTAAATAGTGTACATAAAGTGTGTGCCAAACCTTAGTGCTCATACTCCTCCCACACGTGTGAGACTTACCTCTATACCAGTGGCTTCTAGTTCGCGACAAGATACATTCAATTATATATATTATTATTATTATTTATATGCGCCTGTGCTCCGCCGCGGTGCTCAGTTTATTACAGCTGTGATAAGTTCCTCGTGTAGTAAATATGTAAATAAGTTGTCTGGTCATCCTCGACGCTTTCCTCCCCTTATTGTAGACATGACAAGTGTTGAGTGTGTGTTGTGTGGGCAGGAGGCGGAGTGGTGGTAACTGAGGGGCGCTGTAGTGTGTTAACTAAGGTGCTGTATAACAAGATTAATAAGGCGCTGTAGTGTGTTGTTAACTAAAGCGCTCTAGTGTTAACTGAAGATGCTGCAGAACATGATAACTGAGGTGCTGTAGTGTGTTAACTGAGGCGCTGTAGTGTGTTAACTGAGGCACTGTAGTGTTAACTGAGGCGCTGTAGTGTTAACTGAGGCGCTGTAGTGTGTTAACTGGGGCGCTGTAGTGTGTTAACTGAGGTGTTGTAGTGTGTTAACTGATGCTATAGGGGAGAAAGCGGGAGGAGTGGGAGACAGAGACACGCCCACTCAGCACTACACAGGACTTCAGCACACGTGAACAATAGTACCAGAGTGTAAGTAGGCTCCCTTTCCCATGCACCACTCCCCAGGGGGCTGACTCTCCCACAGGCTCCCAGGGGGGTGATTAGTACCTCTCCCATACACTTAACTCACCCACATCCCTCATCCCCAGCATCCCACGAGCCAGTCCCGCCCACAGTAGTATACGGCCTCGAGTCCCATAAAGTCCCACGTCCTCCCATACAGTCCCAAATCTTCTCTCACAGTCTCTCCCTAAGGCTGGCTAAACCACCACCTCTCCCTAGGTAACACACACACATGCACCCTTCCGCCTCCGATAATGCCCCATATCTTCATTACCTGTGTGTGTATATGTATGTGTGTGTGTATGTGTGTGTGCCTGAGAGAGTAGCTCCACACCTGTTTAGTCATCCCTAAGAGAAATAAGAAATTATTTCCTAGTGATTTAGAAAATGTAAAAGTGTTATTATGTTACTAGTGTAAATGTAAGTGTTACCTCCTGTCGGCCTCGGTGCCACTTGACGGCTGAATGGTCAAGTGGTAGGTCGAGGTGAGGAGGAAGGAGGAGCTCCGAGTGCTGTGTACTTAATCAAAGTGTTTCTGTTGGGTGTCGGCGCCATAAAGCCTTCACACACACACACCCCCTCACTCACCTCCCCCTAAAAAGAGTCACCCATTCCCTTATTTATTGACTTGTAAAACAAACCCTGTAGAATCTTTTTTTGTCAAATACAAGCTGAGCTAGAAACAAGATTTTTCATTTAACCATAAACAAAAAGCTGTACTGTCCCACCACACACAAGTCCCTCTTGGTTATGTATAACTTAAGGACCGGGATATAAGCCATCAGAGGTGTGTTAAGTAACAACATGTGGTCGTATATCTGTCTATATGTGGTGTTAAGACAATGAAAATAATACATATTAATCCTGAACTGTGGACATTGACGGTCAGAGACAGATGAAGTAACTCAAACTATTTTTTTCATATGTATATGTTCCTTTTCATATGTGTATACATAAAACACATGAATATATTATAAAGTGTATGTATATAAAACTTAACTTACACAGTGAACAAAATACGGTACAACGAGCCACCTTTTACGACACACGACTAAACTATAATACTGGAAGATGCTACAAACTCCCGCCCTCCTGAACTATATTAACTAAAACACATAAAGAGCAGAAAATACTCTTATCAATATTGTACATAAACTTAATGACATGTTTAGTGTGTAGGGAGGCGACCGTCACGTGAAGAAGGTAGTTATTTTAGCTGTATCTTATAGTCTGAAGGAGAAGTTAATATTTTTGAAATGCCATAAATTCGTGTGTGTTTACATACACACACACACACACACACACACACACACACACACACACACACACAAGGTGAAAAGTGCACATTAATAACCAATGCCAAGATTATTTTGCTAAAAATATATAAAAAAAAAAAAGTTCAGAAATATCACAATAACTTGGGGATAAAAGTACCGAGTGGTGATAAACGGATCGCTCGCAGTTTAATACAGCTTTTGCTACATAATTTACGACATTCAAGTTAATTTATAGCTAGCTACTTAATTTTTTGCTACATAATTTACGACATTCAAGTTAATTTATAGCTAGCTACTTAATTTTAACCTTCAGGCTTAATACTTAATTTAACATTTGCTACTTAATGTAACAATCCCTATTTAACATTTGTTATTTAATGTAAAAATCGCTCGTAAACATTTGCTATTTAATGTAACGATATTTAACATTTGCTTCCTAATGTAACAATCGCTATTTAACATTTACTACTTAATGTAAAATCGTTCGTAAACATTTGTTATTTAATGTAAAACCGTAAACATTTGTATTTAATGTAACGATATTTAACATTTGCTTCCTAATGTAATAACGCTATTTAACATTTATTTAATGTAACAATCGTTATTAACATTGCTACATAATGTAACAATCGTTATTTAACATTTGCTACTTAATGTAAAAATCTCTATTTAACATTCGCCTTAATGTAACAATCGCTAGTTAACATTTGGTACTTAATTTAACCTTACTTAATTTATCATTTGCCAATTAATCAAAATGTTTATGTAAGTGAAGAAGTCATTAACCATTTTACACTTCAGTGACATTTTCCTGTCAAGAGAATCTTGCTATCATACATTTGCTATTAAGTTTCGTGTTTGCTATATTCACTCGGTTAAGTCAACAAATTATACTGTACTAGGCGATACTAGCTACACACTTACCCTCTCACGCCCCACATATAGTAACATATCCGTTCAAGACTATACAGCGTATGTACTCGCAACCATACCATACTTATTAATGCGTATCAATACATTATAACAACAACAGCGCCCACAGTTATTAAAACGCAGTACTACATTATAACAACTCCCAATTGTTATTAAAACGGTACTACATTATAACAACAAAGCGCCCACAATTTTAAAACGCAGTACTACATTATAACAACAACAGCGCCCACAAGTTATTAAAACGCAGTACTAAATTATAACAATTCCACAATTAAAACGCAGTAATACATTATAACAACCCAATTGTTATAAACGCAGTACTACATTATAAATTCCACAATGTTATTAAACGCAGTAATACATTATAACAACTCCCAATTGTTATAAACGCAGTACTACATTATAACAACTCCCACAATTGTTATTAAAACGCAGTAATACATTATAGCAACAACAGCTCCAGGAGTATTTTTAGTATAGTTGTGTATTTTCTGTTATATTTCTAAAAATCTGATGAAGTCAACAAATAAATAAAAACAAACTGTAAACAAACTCCATACAAACACATGCAAACAATGGAAAGAGTAAAGAAGAAATTTAATAAATCAAAATAATAAGAAAAGGAAGAAAATAATAATAATAATTGAGGTATAGTGATGAAGATAATAATAATAATAATAATAATAATAATAATAAAAAATGGTTGAGATATACACCCCATTGGTACTCTTAGACTAATAAATAAAACATAAAAAAATAAACTTATATCAATTAGAACTTAATACTAGAACAGGTAGTTGACAGAAAGAAATCAAATCCCAACTTAAAACAAAATTATAATTTTTTTCTTAACACAATATCGATGTCGAGTATAATGTTACACAAATCAAATTAGTTAAAAATATCATTAAATAAAAGGTTCAAAAATACTAAATATTATTATAAGGAAAGAAAAATATAAATAAAATATTCTGGTGCTGGTGTCTTGTGTGTGTTTAATACATCAATAGAGAATAATATCAATTCCATTTTTTTATTAATATTATTTTTATTATATTACTTTAATTTTATTGTCTTGTTTCTGCAATATTTTTGTAGTATTTAAGGCAACAAGACTGAACTAAGTCTTACAAACCATTCATAATATCTGTAATATATATTACTTATAAGTACTCCACTTTTTAGCATCTATATTCTATTAATTTTACACTACAGGAATAACAACAATGAATAATAATAATAACAACAATAATAATAAAACAACTTGAGGACTAAAACTAAAATCTGATAAAAATAATAATAAGATTAATAATAATAATAATAAAATAAAAATTTCTCTCTTTTTTGTTGATAAGGAAATATATTTATTAATCTGGGATAAACGCCCCTGACCTTAGTTGTTGTGGTACAGATAATACAATAAATACAACCACAATTATGACACAGTTGCTCATATACATACATCTTGTAGCATACAGACATACATACATACAACAGTGACATTTATTTATTACTTAATGAAACGTTTTTAAATATTATAAAGACAACACAGGCGAATTAGAAAGATGATAAAATGTAAATAAAATAAAATAAATTAAAATGACCCAATAAACCAAAAAAAGGAAGGCAAAATCAGATGAGTTGCAAAAATAAAAAATAAACAATGAAACGAAAATAAAAAGAAGAAATATATAATAAATTGAAAATAAAATAAAACAATTATATAAATGAAAAAAATAAGACTAAAAATCCAAAAACGTAAAACGGAAAAAACACAAAAATTCAGGTAATAAGAAACGTGAAGATAAACATGAGATCAAGAAATAAAACAAATTAACCGATTATCTTTACACCTATTCTCTGATTCTCTCTCCATCTTACGATATCTTCCACACCTTACGATATCTCCACACCTTACGATATTCTCTCCATCTTACGATCTCTATCTTACGATCTCCCACCCTTAAGATATCTCCCATCTTACGATATCTCCATCTTACGATATTTCCATCTAACATCTCACTTTCTCTCCATCGTACTATACATCTCTCAATCTACGATCTATCTCACCATTTTACGATATCTCTCTCCAATCTTACGATACCTTAAGTGTTTTACGACTCAGACTGAGAGAGAACCAGACTGGAGGCTACAATCCTAATCCTAATTCAGTCACCGAGAATAAAGATTGAGATGCAGACACACATACGTTATTGGTGTTACTACTGTGAAGTATACATACAGAAATACATACACGGGTCTATAATACATACATAATACGTACATATATCCCAACATTAGATAGATAGTGTATAGATAGACAGATAGATAGATAGATCGATAGATAGATGAAATGATGAAATGTATAGATAAATAGATCGATAGATTGATGAAATGTGTATAGATAGACCGATATAGATGAAATGTTTTAGATAGATAGATAGATAGATAGATATTATAGACAATAAACTAAGGTCTATAACTAAACAAACTAAAAAATTATACCGAGTTAAATTTAGTAGTTTTAGTGGATTAAATTTAGAACCCTACAAAGACGATACGATAATAACTTACTAAAAAACCTATGATTATTTACCAAGATTACACTACTACGATAACGACACACTTAATCGTAAGCAACAGAGCCACACATACACACAGGAGCTGCTATCGCTAATACTAAATCATATCCTTTTATAATCTATCGTATTATTGTCCTATTATCATATCGTAGTGTATCGTAATATCGTAATAAATGTAGAATAATTATTTACCGATAATAATTTAGGGTAATATTTTTTTTTTCTATTAATTTACTCTTATTAATTTGTTAATTTCTTGAGTACGATGGCAGGAACACATTTGAGCAAGATAGGTTATTTTGAGTACGAGGAGTTAACCTGATTAAGTATAGTCCTTAACCCCTTTGGAGTACGATGTTATTGTACTCAAGGGTTAATTCTCGTAAACAAAGGGGGGTTAAATCTTCGTACTCAGAGGTATTAAATCAACGTAATTATAAGGTTAAGTAACGTACTCAAAGTATGTTAAATCTTCGTACTTTGGGGATTAAGTCAACGTAATCATGGTGGTTAAATAATCGTAATCAAGTTATATGATCGGACTCACAGGATAAGTTATCGTATATTCAGGGTTTAAGTTCTAGCACTCAAGGGACTAGCCTAGTACTCATAAGTTACGTCATCGTACTCAAGGGCTTAAAGTCCTATACTCATAGGGATAACCATATAACGTATCAATACAATATACTTTTGACCACACTGTACCAATGTAATCTAACATACACTATATCAACATCATAATTTTCTGTAACTGTCCCAATACAATACATTATAGGCTTATTAAAAGACGATAGAAACATGATCTACGATGCCAGGAAGTTAGCCACTAACTCCTGAAAGGTTTACGTGTAATAAGACCAGACCCACATTATAAATAAATAAATAAAT